CCCCCCACCCGAGGATAGATTGGCGTGGACTATTGTAGCCTACTTGAGCTGTGCGAAAAACTGAGGGAGGCGAGGAGCTTGTGGCAAGGTCGAAGGAACTGTCAGGTCAGGTTTCTTTTAGCACTACGGGTTAGTTTTTTAGTTTTCGTCCTGTGCACTGATAAACGAAGTGTGCAACTGCTTCACACTTGTAAGTGTGCAACTGCAAGTTGAATACTTGCAAGTATGCAACTTACCGTTGACCACTTCCTTATATTACACTCTACTGTGTGAAGAAAGTGCTCTGAGGTAATGTAAGTAAACTGAGGAGTTGCACACTTACCTGCAAGTGCACAACTATCGACCGTGTAGAACGACGGTATCCGACATCTTTTCGCATCTTTTGCTACCGAGTGCCGCCGTGGCTGGCAGACGAGATGACTCAGTCACATCTTTCAGCCCCCGCATCCGAGCCGAGACGCGCTGACAGCATAGGGGAGCATGTCTGACCCGTCCGCAGCGTGCCTCGCGACCGACACGCGGACGTACTCTACCCACGCCCCACGCGGCAGGCACCGAGCGCGGGTCGGGCGGCACGATAGTCTATAAACCACGGGGGCGGGCGGGACGTTCCAATCCGGTGCGGTATTGAAGTGTGGACCCGTGGACCCTCTCTCGTGCGAGGGCGCCCGAAAATGTTGTACGTGGCTGTACGTATAGTGACTGCTTGGAAATTGGCGTTTCATTTGTTTGCTTTTGGAGCTGGGCATAATTAAAGGTATTCAATTTAACTCCTCTCATATGCCTTTCTAGGGGTGGTTATATTTTTAGCGACCTTGTAAAATATTGAAACCCGTTCTGTGCCCTCTTTTTTTACAGAGCAGGAATGCGAGGTTCAATAATTTTTAGAGACAACCTGAATCAGAAATACCCACTTTTCTTTATGGGTACAGGTTGAAGGATTTCTTTTCCAGCAGTGCGCGTCTGCACAGTGTGCACACACACACACAGTATCACTTATTTTTCTCCGCACCTCTTTGTTTGTTTTTTAGTCCTCAACCCGGACGAGCACAACGTCTGCTTGGCTCTTTTGCCAAACTTTAAACTAACTCCAGTTATGTACGCGCCCTTTTTCACTTTCACTAAAATGAAGCCGGAGGCGTCATCACGAGTACCTCCCTGCTCCCGCTCCCTCCTCATGCCCGGCGGCGCCCCCCCCCCTCTCCCCATTTCTTGTTATCCGACAGCAGCGCGTGAGGGATGCGGAGAAAAAAAAAGGAATGAGCGAGGAGAGCTCCCGGTCGGGCCGGCGGCGCTCGACAGGGAGTAAGAGTGGCTCCGGTCCGGAGTCAGCGCGGCCAGGCCCGGCCGAGGGCCAGGCAGCCCACAAATTATTGTTTGCGTTATGGATTCGTTACTGTCGTGTCGCGGCGTGAGTTGCGGTGCACATTCCAGACACTGACATGCAATTCGTGTGTACGACAATTTATGGGTCATCGTACTATATCTGCCCGACTCGCTCCTCTGTCGCTACCTTCCATCCCCCTTTCGTTTGCACCGCCGCTCTCCACCCACTCGCTCTGTCTCCCCCCCCCCTCTCTTCCAGTCGATCTCTCATTCCCCGTCCCCTTCTCCCGCACCCCCCTCTCTCTTTATATATATATCCCTTCCCAAACACCATTACAGTCCCCCTCCACCTAATTCATTCAGGTCGTATTTACTTTTTCCGGTTTACATAGCCGCCTGGTTCTGTCATATCCCGGACAGATATCTGGTCACAACCGCCAGAAGAGAGATAGGTGACAGAAAGCGGGAAACGCTGCCCGTCGCCCGGCAATTTATGCAATATGCAGCGGCGCACATGGTTAAACATTTCGGGCATTTATACGGTGAGGACGCCGAATAGGAGGTTAGCAAGGTGGGCAGATTTGGTGCAAATCTAAATCAAACGACACCTGCAACGTCAAATTGCAAAAGGCTCATTGCCAGCGATGCTCCAACAGAGTAAACCACCCCGCCTCCACCCGCACGGCTGACCCGACTACCCGACCCACTGCCCGCGAGGATTTTCGGTCCGCTAATAATAGTGACAGTTGCACCTGGGGCGCCGCGGGCCTGGCGTACTGGTGTACGTACAGCGCAGCCCGCCGGCCGGTCTGCTGGCCAACATAAAACCGGCTCGTAGGAAAAAAAGAGAAAAGAGGCATATAACGGCGGGCCATTCTATTAAATGTAGCTTGCTTTCTTATTAAACAAAGTGTAAAAACAAATGCCGCTCATAAACAAGACAAGCACCATCAGTTATACCATACCGTGTCCAAAAAAGTATATCGTGGAAAAGAAAAATAAAAAGTTCAATCTAAATAAAAGGTAGTTTTGGTGATGTATTACGAGCACCATACACCGCAGATACGAACCCTGATCGATCCATTTCCCCCCATGGGATCTCTCCGTCGTTTTCTGGTTCTCAATGCGAATCTTGTGGGCACGCTTTTATTTTTCTATTTTATTCCATCAAGCAAAGTGTGAAGCCAGCATGATGGATGATTCTTGCCCCGTCAACGCGCCGCTGGCCACAATAAGGCACGCAGGCCGTATTAATTTAAAAGAAATTGCGCCAAAAAAATTAAAGGAAGGGAACAAACACCATCTAAATAATTTTCTATATCCAGATTAATAACCAACGAGTGACCGTGCACATGCCAAAAGGTAGAAAAGAGGTCATGGGCTATTGATTCGGGAGGAGAGAAAACGAGCAAACCAGAACAAAAAACATACAGACACAAAAAAATACTGTTGCGTTTGTAAATCCCGACTGACTCACCTGTTCCGAGGGCGAGGAGCAGCAGCAACAGCGGCAGGTGCGGCGACGGCGGCGGCCTGGCGGTGGTCCGCATGCTGGGGGCGGCGGGCCGCCGGCGGGGGCGGGGGCGGAGGGGGCGGCGCCGGGGGTGAGGCCGGGGGCGGGCAGGGCCCCTCAGGGCGAGCTCAGCGGCTCCCGGTCCGGCCGCGGCTCAACCGCAGGCCTCACCCATCGCGATGGTCTCATGGCCCGGCGCGGCGTGGCGGGGCGTGGCGGCGCGGTGGGGTGCCGGGGTGGCGCGGCGCGGCAACGGGGTGTTCGAACCCCTCTGTCCGCATTCGATTAGCAAGGCAAATATTACACACACAGTGTCTGGCGCGGGCCCGGGCGGTGGAGCGCTTCCACACAAAAAATGTTACATATATATGGGAGGGGTGTGGTGGGGCGAGGCGCGGCGCGGCGGCCGATCCTGCAACACACAAACAAAACCAAAGCTATAAAGTACTGTCATTTTGCATTTTATTCCGTTTGTGGTTTTCCAGTCAACATAAACCAGGAGACTGTTTTGTCTGTTTCAAAAGCGAAAAAAAAAGTGTTTTCTCTGGTTTACGAGACGATGTACCACCACATACTGTGTTCAATAATATAGAAATCTCACTTTATGTTTTTTTAAATAAAATGTCACAGTGCCACGTGTTAGGAACAATGCCTAACAATGAGCTAAACACGTGCGCTTAACATAGTTTAACATGGTAACAAATCTTCGCCCATATACCAACTACGCACGCACGGGTGCACTGTTAATCCCATACAAACGACGTCCTGGTTTTCAAGCAATTTTGAAAAAAAATAAAAAAATCGAGATGTTCCCATGTTATTCTTGCATAAGATATTCCTGACTGCTTGGAAACCAGGACGTTGGAATAATATTGTACTGTAGGCCACTTGTACTAAGCCCAAAACAGGAGCACTTGGGGTCTGTATCCCACTGGACATCTTCCAGTCCGCCGGGTAACTGTACGGAATGAGCCCACGAGCGCCAGGTCTAATACAACCATGAAGGTAACCGGCAGATCGGAAGGGTGTCCAGTCTCGCGTCCAAGTAGAAAGCCGACCTCAGGTATCATTCAGCAAGAAAGTCCGTCACACGAACCTGCCAAGTTAGCTTATTTATGGCAAGTTCTCGTAGCGCCTGATAGGAAGGCAACATTGTGCTTGCAGGGCACGCACGTACTGCGGTGTGGCCTATCCTGGGTTTCACAGGCGCTGGCCTCCCATAGCTGGCCCAATGAGCGAGAAAAGAGAACGTACTCCCTGGACGATCCCTTAGTCGCACTGTCTCGAGGGTCCGGCGACTTGGTCGCCTACCTGCTGGACACCCAGGCTTTACAGTGACACACGCACACCCACACAACTAACACGCCGGGCGCTTTTTTTCTTGTTTGTCCACCAGCACGCCTTTCTGTACGGGGTCGACAGGCCATTTGTGGTTTCCTTCAGGAGTACGGAGGGGGCCGCAGCGGTAGGGCGGAGAGGGGGTGATGTGGGGTGGGGTTGTTCCGGGCTCCGAGGCCCCTAGGTCCAGAAGACGCCCCAGGTTCACTTGCCCCTGCGGTGTCCGGTGGTGGAGAAAGGAAAATGGTGGCAAGAGAAGACTAAAGGATAAGGGATGTGGGGAGGGGGCGAGGCAGGCGTGGAAGGGGGAGGGTGGCAGCCGAGCGCAGTGACGCAGCACTCTAGTAAAAAAAAATCGCCAAGTCGGTGAAGAGAAAAAGTGATGAACTGCTGCTGCTGGGGTAGTCCGCCACCACTACTAGAATTTTAATCTCTAAGGGAAGAGTTACATCGTTTGCAGCGCGGGGAAAAATGAAAGATAATTTATTACCTCCGAGCTACGTTTAATCAAGAGAAGTGAAACTAATATCTGGCCGGACGAACTGTGTTTCCGATCCGACTATACTGGGCTGCCGCCTGCCACCGCGGCCAATATCGATGCTCTCCTCGGCCTCCAGAAAGGCAAATCAGGAAAGAAATATCGGCCGGCGATGTAATAAAATGCTAATACTTTGCCGTGACTTTCAAACCAAAAAATAACTTGAGTTTTTTTTTTTGTGTGTATTACAAAGTGAGATGGGACGGCGCGGGCATCTGTACGCGGGGCGGACATGTCATGCAGCAGTGGCCATGTTCAACCCGACGTCCAGCAGGGCATCTAACTCGATGAGCGTTTAGAGCCATCCACACTCGCTAGTTTGGCGCTCAAACTTGTCCCTTGCGACGCGGCGTTGGTTTGGGTCGGTATGTTCTGCTCGGCCCGAGCGGCAAACGTCCGGAAGCCGGCACACTCCCAGAGCGCACCTTTACAAGCAGCCGAATGGACCGCATCAGCGCAAACGCGCCGGCACTCTGGCACTCCGACAGCACCGAGCTCTCCCCAGCGAGTGCACTCTGGCCCCAAGTCCAACAAGGGCCACCTCTGATGTCTGGCAGATTGGCGGACGTGCGTTAGTTTGCGCAGAAAACAGACACTTCGCTTCGCCTCTACTATCTGCTGCCTGCTGAGAAAAAGTTCCAGATTGGTTCGAAACCGAGTGTCCATAATTGTGATGTTTAGGATGGTTTAAAAAGACCGAACTTTCCCTCATTATTGAGTAACTATTGTGGGCAATGCGCTCTCATTAATTTGTTTTTGTGACAGACAATTTGTTGTTGAAGTTCGCTAATCACGCCAACTTACGAATGTCGTCAACATCGCTACAGGATCACATAGGATTACGCGACCAACGGGTTTGTGTAAACTCTCCGAAGTATAGCCAGATGATGCGCAAAGCCAACAGATTCACAACAAATGTACACCTTGTTCACAGGGTCCATACACACCGCCGCACAGTCCCCCCGAGTGACGAGAAAATAACAAGCAGCATTTTAGGGGCGGCGGGCGCCATTTGCCGGGGCTACTCGGGCTGGCCCAAGGGCTGGCGGGGGCCCCGCGGGGCCGAGTGTTTTCCGTTGAGTGCCTCGCCGTGTTCCCGGCGTAATAACAGCCGGGGGGAGGTCAACCAACCCGACCTGCCGGTGCGCGCCGATGCGGGGGCGGCCGGGCACCCACCTGGATGGTGCAATCGCCTACCCCAGCAGGACCCCGCCGCCGCCCCC